TCGCCGCGTCTGATACCCCGATGTGGGCCAGGGTGCCCGATGAGCCCAAGCCTTTCCCTGCGGTGCCCCCTATTGGGTGCGCCAGGCCCCCTGTGTACCCTTGGAAGGCCGTGCTCGACGTTGCGGGCCCCAAGCTTTTGGCCCAAGGCGACCTCGCGGGGCTCTGGGACCTGGTCATCTCGGGGATCGAGTTCGAGTTGTCCTCTAGGTGGGACCGCATAGGGGTCTGCTCGGCTGGTTTCTTGGGGAGAGCGGGCCCGCCCAGGACGAGGTGGAAAAAGCTGGCGTGGGCCCCCCCCAAGACTCGCACTTACAAGGACCCCAGCACCAAGGCTTGGGCCACAGCTTTGGGCTGGGCGAAGCACCTCGGCAAATGTAGGCAGTTTCTCACCAAGGAGGTGGCAGGCCTCCAGGAGTGTGCAGCCATATGTGAGCTGACTCCCAACCAGCACGTCAAGCTACTGCGTGCGCTGGCCGATGCTTCCAATTTCATGATCAAAGTCGGTGCGTGCAAAAAAGTGCTGGCCAGGCTCGACGATCGAACGTCTGGTTTCTTTCAGTCAGGGTTTGCCGTCCTGGCCAGAGCTGATTTTGCCGAGGTTCTCACGCATGTGTATCTCACCGCCAAGGCCAAGATAGGGGCTGCCGAAGCCGCCGCGAGCTCAGCCTGGCTGGCCTGGGCCCGAGAAGCTTTCCAGAGAGGAGCGTCTCAGGCCCATAGGTTCAGCAAGGTGCGAGCGGTCCAGGAGGTCGTTGCTGCTGGTTCCAAGTCCCAACCCTTCCAGCTTGCCGATCAAGAGATGCAGCCATGGGCTGACATCTGGCGTACCCACGAGTGCTCTAAGCTTCCGCTCCCCGATGGGGCCCACGCCTGGCCCTCACTCCCTTGCATCACTGCCTCGGAGGTTGAGGATTGCATCCAGCAGTTTAAGATCAACACGGCGGCTGGCCCTTCGCGGATTGCGCCCAGGGCTCTGCTCCACCTCAGCCAAGGTGCCTACGAAGGCATAGCGTTTTTGTTCAACGGATGCGAGGCCCAGCTAGCTTGGCCCAACGATCGAGTTTGGACGGAGATGGTGCGTTTGGCCAAGCCTGATGGGGGAGTCCGCTTGATAGCCCTCATTAACACCCTCTGCCGAGTATGGGGCAAGCTTAGGAAGCCTGTCACTTGTAGCTGGCAAGAGTCGCATGGTTGTCTCGAGGTCTGGGGCACCAGGAAGCGGCATAGCTCCACGGACAGCGCTTTCGCGCACAACCTGTCCGCAGAGCTAGCGTCCCTGCTCGGCGAGATCTCAATTTCAGTTTTGCTGGATATGATCAAGTGCTTCGAAATGATTCACCCTGCCCAACTCATCAAGGAGGCAGAGGCTGTCAGCTTTCCGCCTCGCCTCGTGTGGATGCTCGTGGATTTGTACAGACAGCCACGGCGTCTGAAGGCATTCGGAAGCCTTTCCGAGTCCCTCGAGGCTTTCCAAGGCATCCTCGCTGGATGCAGCCATGCCACAGGTATGCTTTTCGTGCTGACTTTTCGGGCGCTCAGGCGCCTCAACCAGATTGCCCCGTGCGTGACGCCGCGGGCGTTAGTAGATGACGTGTCGCTGCAGCTGGTCGCCACGACGCCTGACACCTTGCCGCAGCTCGAGAAGGCTGTGCGGATCTTCAGGTGCGAGGCCCAGGTACTAGGGCTGAACACCCAGCCCAAGAAGTCTGGTATCGTGGCGGCCTCGGGAAGGTCCAAGAGGTTGTTTCGGCTCGGAGCGGCGCAGCTCAAACTTCAGTTTCGGCCATGGATGCGAAACCTGGGGCATGAGCTGGCTGGTGGCAAAGTGTTGAGGCTACAGGAGAAGGCACGCCTCAAGTCTCTGAAGCAGCGCCGCCGCAAGTACATGGCGCTGCGCAGCGCCGTCGGGCGCAAGGCCTCGCTCTTGTTCAGAACTGGAGCGCTACCGGCCGCGGGGCATGGTGGCGGCGTATCTGGAGTTTCGGACGTTTCTCTTCGATATTTCAGACAAATGGCTTCTACCCTCGCAGGGGGCAAACAACATGGTGGGGTCACAGCGTATCTCCTCGCTCACCGCGACCCCTATTACGATCCCATATTCGACTGCACGCTCACCATATGTCTCCGCTACGCGGCCTGGATCTGGGACAGAAGGGTGTGTCTTGGGAGGGCCCAGAGGGCCTGGGCCCAACTACGTTGCTACTTCGACGACAACCCGACGTGGCAGATAGCGAAGGGGCCCATGTCGGCCTGCTGGCTCTCCCTGCATCGTATCGGATGGGCCATGACCAGCGCTCACACGTTCCTCTCAGACACTAATTTCACGATAAACTTAGTCACGACTTGCCCGTACGACGTCAAGCTATATATGATCGAAGGTATTCAGAGGTGGCAACATCGTCGGCTGCTTCATCACATGCCCACGTCCCAGGGCACCGAGCAGGTTTGGCACAGAGCGTTGCGAGGAGGTCTTCAAGCGATTCGGTGTCCGCGGCAACTTGGTGCTCTCTCGGCCGTCATGGCTGACGTTATTCCTCTTCCAAGTGTGCGCGCTTCCCAGGGCTACCGCATAGGCCCTGAATGTCGTGTGTGTCAGGCTCCCCAGGGCTCCTACGGACACATCTGGTACGACTGTGCGGGCTTGGTATTGGACGGAGTTGACGCGCTTGGCGAGCAGGTCCCCGACGAGATTCTGAGCCATAGGAATGCCTTAATTAATTCCTGTCTAGATATCTTGGGGAACCCGCAGGCCGAAACCACCTATCTCTCCTATGGGATCCCCTCGCTCTCTGTGGCTTTGGAGCCCCCCGAGGCCCACCCTCAGGTCCAGCACTGGGGGAACGTTTCAGGCCCGTGGGGGCCAACCTGTTTCGTCGATGGGAGCTGCCTCCAGTCAAGTCTCCCTGAGGTTGCTCGGGCTGGCTGGGCTGCGGTTCAATTAAGTCAAGATTTAATTCCAGTTCGTGCTATCTTTGGCGCCTTGCCTGGCGTACGCCAGACCATCGGACGTGCGGAGCGGTGGTCAATACGTCAGGCCCTACACTATGCGCCTAAGGTGGAAAAAATTGTGTCCGACCTGCAGGCCAGCGTTCGTGAAGGCAACGCGTGGGACCCAGAGCAGGCTGCTGGTCTTGCCAAACATGCGTCGATTTGGGCGGACATTTTCAGGAACCAGCGGCACGACCCCCCCCAATTTGTTTGGTGCCCCGCCCACCTTTCGCTCGATGATGCTGTTGAAAAAGGCGTCTCTCTTGAGCATTGGGCGGGGAACCTATGGGCTGATTTTTTCGCGAAGCTCGGCTCGGAGTCCCACAGTTACGCGGATGGATTCTGTAAGGCCTTGGCGGGGGAATTTAGATATCATAAGTCCACTCTTAAGTTCTTGGCGTGGGCTGCTCAGAGGATGTTGCAGTCTCAAGCGTGGTCTGGTGATCCTGAGGTGCCTCTCGTCTCCTCTTTTCCCCCCCTTCCCACCAAGCTGACGATCACCAGCCACGAGATCTGGCACAGCCAGAAGATCGCCGTTTGGAGATGCCGTGTTTGTGGCAGATTTGCTCGCAGCCTGACTTCTCTCAATGCCATGCTCACTCAGAGAGCCACGCGTGACTGCATTGCAAGCCCCGTACAGCTCCTAGCGGCCTCTGAGTGGTGGAAGACTCATGCCTATGACCAGGGGTTCGCCCTGATGCGTTCCGAGGCCGTGCAGCTGGCAATGGGCGCCTCCCAGAGAGAGGCTGAGCTGTGTGGTCAGACCGAGGGGCCCGACAACGTGGGAGCGAAGGGCCCGTGTTCTCCTGTGCCCCCCTCGGGGCCCAGTGGGCCCGACAGGTTTCCCCAGTTTTCGGCCCTCGGTCACGACGTTTTTAAAAATTGTGATCATTTTTGCTGCCGCAAGTGCGGTGGGAATGGCACTCTCGGCAATTTTGTGAAGCTAGCCGCCAGATGTGTTGGCTTTTCAGCCGTGGCCTCCACGAAGGCGAACCAGCGCATGGCCATCAGGAGGATTGAGGCTGGCCTGCATCCGAAGACTGGCGTGAAGCTCTCTGCCCCCTCGGCTGGTCGGCCGTGCAGGCGTGGAGATGGCCACGCTGGCCCCACGGATGAGGGCAGGCCCGCCTCTGGTGAGCAGGTTGGACGCGATGATAATCGTGCTCCCTCCCCTGCCGCCTCCTGCCCCGTCGAGGGCCCTCCCTCCTCTCGCTTGTCCTGTGGTCCTGGGGCCGAAGGCGTGAGAGGTGAAGGTGCTCTTGATGTGACATTGGGCGTGGTCCAGAGGCTGTCCCATAGTAGGACCGCCCGTCGGCCACTTTCGCCCCGCGTGATCCCCTCCAGAGGGGACGACGATAGTTCCGATTAAGTTTTGTTCGGCCCCGCCCCTCGTCGTGTCGTCGCCCGCGCCCGCCGCCCGCATACGCCCTCTTCCACTTCGGCGTGACGGAGTGCGGCGCGCAGGCGCCGCGACCCTCGGGGCTAGGCGGGGCCCATCCTTGTCCTCTCCCCCTGGCGCGCTCGCGCCCCGCGGGAGCTCATTGAACTCGGACCTCCCAGTCGAGCTTCGGCTCTTCTGGGAGGCGCAACGGCTGTGCCCTCCTCCTCCCTCTCCTCCTCCTCCTCCTCCTCCTCCTCCTCCTCCTCCCCCTCCTCCTCCTCCTCCTCCTCCTCCTCCTCCTCTTCCTACTCCGCTTCTCTCTTCCTCCTCCCCTTCTCTTTTTCTCGTACCAATGCTCCTGCTGCTGCTGCTGCTGCTGCTGCTGCTGCTGCTGCTGCTTCTAGTCTTCTTCTTCCCCCTCCTGCCCACGCCCTCACCTGCGCTCCTCCCTCCCCCTCCTCCTCCTCCTCCGCCCTCCCGCTCCTGTGCCGTCCTCCTCCGCCGTTGCCTGCTTCGCCCCCCTCGCCCTCCTCGTCGTCCTCCCCCGCCCCTCTCTTCGTCGCCGTCGCCGTCGTCCTGGTCGCTGCCGCCGCCGCTGTCGTCGCCGCCGTCGCCGCCGCCACCCTCGAGGCGCCCCCGCTCTTGGCGGCGCCCGCCGCCCTTCCGGCTGCCTGGCCGCCGCACGCCTTCTTCCGCTGGGGCGGGCTGGCCTGTCACCCGGGGCTGGCAGGCCCTTGGGCCCCCTGCCGCTCGTCGGCGCGCGTCGCCGTCGTCATGGTCGTGGTCGTTGCCTTCGGCATCCTGGTCGTGGTCGTCGCCGTGGTGGTAATGGTGTGGTCGTCGTCGTCGTCGTCGTCGTCGTCGTCGTCGTCGTCGTCGTCGTCGTCGTCGTCGTCATGGTCGTCGTGGTCGTGGCCATGGTCGTGGTCGTGGTCGTGGCCACTGCGGCCGCCACGGCCGCCGCTGTCGTGGCCTGCGCACTCTCTCCGATCCTCTCCTCGTCGCCCTTCTCCTCCAGATCCCCCCCCCCTCTCTCCCCCCTCGCCCCGTGGGGAACTCCATGCAAGTTCCCTCGGGGGCACGCGTCACGCTCCGGGGGCACGGCCGCTGTGCAGCCGCAGCAACGGGCTGGCCTTTCAGCAGCAGGGTTGGCGCTGTTGCCTTATAGGCCACCAGACTTCTGCACACCTCGGCCCTCAATTCCACCGCCAGAGTATGTCCGTATCCACAGCTGCCCGAGTCCCCGGGTCACAACCCCGCGGCAGATGCTGTGGACGTTTTTGGCGGCACATGCATAGGTGCCACCGAGAAGGGTATCCAGCAGTGGATAGGGTGGGTTCGTATCGTGTCGACGCGGTGGCGACCCCAACACGGGCGTTCAAGGCTGAACGCCGCCAGTGGTCCAGAATCGGCCGACGTCGAACGATCTGCGCTATCGGGAAGCCGCGATCGCTCTGGGCTGAACGGTCCACGCGGTGCCAGAAATCAGCCCAGAAGTCGCCACTACGCAAGCCAGTCATTTTGTGCGGCGTGCAGGATAGTGGCAGGAGAGCGCCATACTTCTTGCCGGATGGCGCGGGAGAGCGGCACGACTGCGCCCCTGTCGTGCACCATTTCGCACGAGTCGAGGGAGGAGGAGGGGGAGGACGAGGTGGAAGAGGTGGAGGAGAATCAGCAGCCAATCGCGTGTGCAACCGAGGACTGGATCACGGGCTAGGCTACAACAAGTACTTCGGTAGGCCCTGCGGGGGGGATCCCAGGTGCCTTCACGCCCCGTCGGCCGCTCAAAGCACCGTCGACACGTTCGCCTCCGCCAGTCGCATCGATCCATCAGAGGCGATGACGAATGCTATTTTGCGCGAGCCGCCGCGCTCACCCGTGAAGGCCTGCAAGCGGTCCTCGGAGGCAGGGGCCACCCGCGCGCCAGCCTGCGCTGCATCAGCGCCACCTTCAGCGCCTGCGCTCCCGATCGGCCACGGCCACGGCGGACAGGAAGGTCTTCTGCCTAGGAGTCGCCCTCCACATCGTAGTGTTCGTTTTTGCCGCGCGCGGCGGCGGGCTCCCAAGGCTACTTGCAGGTGGCGGATCTGCAGGCGCCTGCCGCGTGCGGCCTGTCCGCCGCCGCGGCTGGTGGCCGCCGCCCGCGCCCTCGACCGTCGTGAGGATGCCCTTGGGCACGGCGGCCCTGACCCTCGCATGCGCCGTGGCCGCACCGCCGCCGTCGGCCGGCGCCCCTTCCGGCCGCCGCGCCGTGCGCGCCCTGGCCCGGCCCGATCGCGCCGCCCGCCGCCCCGCCGCGCCCGCGCCGACGCGGGGCAGCTTCCCCGGGGGCAGCGGGGCGGGCGGGCGCCTCCGCCTCGCGCCGCCGCCGCTCGCCGACGCGGAGGCTCCCGGACGCCTCCGCTGCCTGGGCCGCTCCTGGCGCGCAGCCGCTGCGCGACGCGGAGGGGGAGCGCCCCGCGTCGCAAAGGGGACGCTCCCGTGGCGGTCTCGGCGGCGCCGCGGCGGCGAGGCGGCGGCCACCCAGGGGGGCGCCGGCGGCAGCACGTCGCTGGATCCAAGCGAGCACTGGGGAGGAGCAGGAGGAGGAGGAGGAGGAGGAGGAGGAGGAGGAGGAGACGGCGGGGGAGGGGGAGGAGGAGGAGCATGGAACCACTTGGCGAGCTCCTTTTTGTGTCTCATCGGGGGGGTCGACGGGTGGGGGGCGCGTGGCTGCACCTCACTTCGCACGGATTTTCTGTCCAAGTGCACTTCGGGCCAGGCCCTGGGGACAACTTGTGGTTGGCGGACCCAGACATTCTAGGGTATTGTATATACTGCTCTTTGCTCTCTACTGCTCTCTCTCTCCCTCTCTTTCTGTGTATACATACATACATACGTATATATATACATATGTTGGTGTTGTGGTTGTGGTTGTGGTTGTGGTTGTGGTTGTGGTTGTTGCTGCTGCTGCTGCTGCTGTTGTTGTTGTTGTTGTTGTTGTTGTTGTTGTTATTGTTGTTGCTGTTGCTGTTGTTGTTGCTGTTGCTGTTGCTGTTGTTTCTCTCTCTCTCTCTCTGTGTGTATACATACATACATACATACATACATACATACATACATACATACATACATACATACATACACATATGCACACACATACATACATACATACATACATACATACATACATACATACATACATACATACATACGTACAACATACATACATACATACATACATACACACACATACATACATACATACATACGTACGTACGTACATACATACATACATACACACATACATATATATATATATATAGATATGTATACATACATACATACATACATACATACAGACAGACAGACAGACAGACAGACAGACAGACAGACAGACAGACAGACAGACAGACAGACAGACATACATACATACATACATACATACATACATACACATATATATACATACATACATATATATATACACACATACAGATGTATGTATTTATAGGTATCGTGCTCTCTCCAGTAATCTGCAGAGCTGTTCATGGTCTTCTGTCGCCAAGGGTGTCATTGTGTTTGGGCACGCCCCTTCTGTCGTCCCTCCCTTCCTCGACCTCCCTCCCTTCGCGTTCTGGAGTGGAGTCGAGAGGGGGGTGGCGGGGTCAGAGGTGAAGAAGTCCCCCGCAGAGAGTGGCCACGTTCCGTCAGCCCTACATTCTAACATAGTCATGAGCGCAGCAGGACGCGACACGTGCGGTCGATTGGCCAGTAGTTCCCGCACGAGGAGCCGTACATGCCCACGTGTGTGCCTGGGAAAGGAACGCCACGGCGTGTACCCGAACCTTGAAGAATAAGAAAACACAGATGCGAGAAATGATAATATCAGTGATAATAGCAGTGACACGCACACGTAGCAACAGTCGTGGCAACAGTTGGGATATTCATGCAGCTGTAATTACCAACAGCAGTGGCAATAATACCTGCCAGCGTTGGACTCCCCGGCGCTGCCGGAGCGGACTGCAAGCGCTAGCTGCTTAGCCCAGCGTGTGCAACATTCAGTTCTCGAGATTTGGTCGCCCAGGCATGCTGAGCAGGTAGACCTGCTCGCCGCTGAGTGATCACGAGAAAAACAGTATTGATATTACGTAGCGGTGTGAGGCGACACCAAGCTACGTTTATGTCGGGGTCGCCATGATAAGCAGACAATGCCGAATGCTAGACAGCGTGGACACCACAGAGTATATTGTAGCATTCTCTGCGATGTGATATGCCCGATGCAGCCTATGCGGTGCAGTGCAGTGTATATGTATGCGTATGTCTATCTGTCTGTTTGTCTGTATGTATGTATGTGTGTACGTATGCACGTATGTATGTATGTATGTATGTATGTATGTATGCATCTCTCTCTCTATCTATGTAGGTCTGAATGTCTGCATGCATGTATGCATCCATGTATGTATGTATGCATGCATACATGAATGACTGTATATATATATATATATGTATATTTATGTATGCATGCATGCATGTACGCATGTATGTATGTATGTATGCATGTATGCGTGTATGTGTGTGTATGTATGTATGTGTGTATGTGTATGTGTGTATGTATGCCTCTCTGTCTGCATGCATGCATCTGCGTATTAATGCATGTATGTATGTTTGTATGCATGCATGCATGTATGTATGCATGCATGCATGCATGTACGTATGTACGTATGTGTGTGTACGTGTGTGCGTGTATTTTTGTGTGCCTGTCTGTTTCCATGCATGTATGTATGCATGCATGTATCTCTCTCTCTCTTGATATATATATATATATGTATGCATGTATGTATGCATGCATGCACGTCGTATGTACGTGTGTATACATACTTATGCATGCACGTGTGCATGCATGTACGTATGTACGCATGTACGCGCATGGTGTATGTATGCATGGCTTGACGGATTATCCGACGTATGCATGCATGTATGTACGTATACACGCATGCACGCATCTACGTATGTACGTATGTACGTGTGTATGCATGTATGTTTGGCTGTCTGTATGCATGTATTGCTGTATGCATACATGCATGCATGTATGTATGTATGTATGTATGTATGTATGTATGTATGTATGTACGTACATGTATGTATTCATGCATGCAGGTACATATGTATGTACACATGCCTGTCTGTATGTATTCATACGTGTGCACATGTCATATGTATGAATGTATGTAGGTAGGTAGGTAGATAGCTAGGCATGCAGGTAGGTATGTATGCATGTATGCATGTATGTATGTTCATATGCATGCATGCATGCATGCATGCATGTATATATGTATGTATTTATGCATGCATGTATGTGTGTATTTGTGTACGTATGTATATAGGTATGTATGTATGCATGTATGTATTTATTCTTACACATGCAGTGCAAGCCATGAAGTGCCAATCAATGCGATGCAGTCTCCGCAATAAAGCCGATGCGGTGCAACCTGAAGTCGCACAACATTGGTTGCATCATGCTATTCTACGCTTTGCTATGCCCGTCTGTGCTATGCTATGATATGCTACGTCAAGCTGTGCTAAGCTAAGATTTGCTGTGCTATGCTGTGATACTTGGCTCCAACAAAAAATCCATGGAAACTCGTACCAAGAATAGATGTGTGTTCGCCCATCGGCGACATGAGTTGTCGCGCGCGCGTGCTCAGCGCTCGCGTGCGCGAGATCCCAAGACGTCCCCATGGCGACAAGATGGTTCCAAGAGGGCCTGAGGCCACAGACGGGACGTCCAGACGACCCTGGGATGATGCCACCCCAACACGATCCCGCCGTGGATTCTGGACCCTCCCAGGCCGACTCGAAGATGACCGAGCACATGAGCCACGAGTGACGCCGAGATGGCCCGATGGCAACAAGATGGACCCACGCGCGCCCAGGGTGGCCCCATAATGAACACGCGACGGTTGCGCGATCCAACCCCGCCCGGGAGTTGCCCCCGGACCCCCCCGCCCCCCAGCGGGGAAGGGATCAAGGGAAGGGGCTCTGTTCGACTGAAGGACGACGTTGTTCAATTTTTGTGTGGACTTGTGTAGGGAACCCTCGGAAAGCAGATAAGGCGACGAGGAAGACGGAAAAGCCTCTCCCACACGCCGACAGGGTCGGCGGATTTTACAAAGACGGTAAGTTAGGCGGGATCCCGCCCGCCCACGGCAGAAGACTACATTGCTCGGCTTCTACGGGGGGTGGGGGGGTTCGGACAGGGCGTCATTTATTTTCGCTGTCTTCCGCAAGCCTTCCACCGGCCTTCCGCCGTCACCCGCCTCGTTTTACTTCCGTCGGCGTCCGCTAGCGAGCGACGTGACGGAATTCAAGGAACTTTCATCGGGCCGATGTAATCCGTGCTATGCCGTGCTATGCGTTGCTGTGCTATGCTATGCAATGCTATGCTCAGTTATGTTATGTTATGTTATGTTATGATATGCTATGTTATGTTATGATATTTTATATTATGTCATGTTATGTTATGTCATGTTATGTTATGTTATGTTATGTTATGCTATATCATGTTATGTCATGTCATGTTCTGTTACGGTATGCTGTGCTATGCGAGTGGACGAGTGCGAGTGGACTAAGGCGAGTGAACGAGTGCAATTGGCGGCAACGGACGGCGGCTACAGGCGGCGACGAGCTGGCCAGACAGCACCAGGGCCCAGTCACCTTACAGTGGGGGCCCATGCCAACAAAAATACCCTGCTCGCCTCCAGGGTTGCCATGGAAAGCGCGACGTTCCCACACCAAAAAATCCACGGACGTCCCAGGGTCTCCGGGTCGGGTTTCTTGTGGACTGGCCTCCATTGTATAACGCAAGTAGGATTCAGTCGGGCGTGTCCCCCTACAGGGGGGTTTTCGACGAAAAATAAAAAATATTCACAAAACAAATCCCCAAAGGGCCCAAAAATATTCAAAAAATAGTCCCCAGACTATTTTTTGATTATTTTTATATTTTTTTTGAATATTTTTATTTTTCGTCGAAAATCCCCCTGTAGGGGGGACAGGCCCGACCTAAAAGTAGGAAACCCTAAGAGCAAGCAGTGCTTGGCGACCCCCGCGCGGACGCTCCGCGGTTGAGCGCCGTCGGTGGCCCGGAATCGGCTGGCCTCGAACGGTCGGCACCACCAGAAAAGGCCGCCGACCGCCCACGCTTTTGCACCGTCCACGCTGCGCCGGAGGCCCACGCCGGGCTCCTCACGCCGCGGCCCTGCCGCTCCAGTACCAGCAGTAGGAGGAACCAGAGAGGGGGGAGCACGGAGGGGCCGAGGCGGCGGCCGTCTCGACTTCTTGTGCGAGGCGTGGGCCCCCTCAGTCCTCTCTGCCGCTTCCCCAGGGCCGGTTTTTATGTCCCCGGTCGTTTTGTCGACGGTCTTGTTGACGGTGCCGGGGCCCGAAGCCGGCCTCCGAACGCCGAACATCAGAAACGAGGCCGACTCGGTTGTCCTCGGGCCGCCGGATTTTTGGGGCCGCAGTCGGGCGGTCGGGGGACCTCAACTGACCGCACCACCGATCCTTGTCTGGCGCATCTGGGGCCCAGGATTGGTGTACACGCTCTCCTGGCTTGGCAATGGAGGCATGACCCTGCGGATACGTGGCGTTTTTTTTGACGGATGCCCCGCGCAGATCGTATCCATGCGACAGCGTATCCACGGCATCGCGCGGGAAACGCTCGCTCTTCCTGAATGCACCCCGATCCTAGGCGCAGGATTCTAGTCCTCCCAGACGGGGTCCGCGTAGATGGTGTCGGAGGATCGCGCCGCATCGCCGATGCATCGGCGACGCGGCCGGATGTGGAGCTCGTTTTTCTCCACGCCGACGTCATCGATGCATCGCCGACGTTGCCGATGCATCGCCGATGCATCGGTGATGCATCGACGATGCGGCACGATGCTCCGACCCCATCCGGGAGGCCTCAGAGCATGGTTCCGGCCAGGACCGGTGCGAAGGTCGGCTAGCGCCCTCCGAGCAGGCGGGTGCTGGGGAGGAGGCGCTCTCGGCGGGCCGGCCCCGCCCCCCGGCCGGAGCGCGCCGAGGCGGCACGGCGGAGGGGGGCCCGCGGCTGCTGGCGGCGGAGAAGTACGCGGTGCATGACCCGCTGCC